CAGTGCTACGCGTACATCTTAGGCTGGTATACGTATCTCCTCATTACAACGACCTCCTATCAATATCAATGGTGGCCTTCCAAACCCCGCCGGAGGCCCCTATCTACACGACGCCTCCCGTCCCACTCGTAATGCGCGAGAGACGAGTTTCGCACCAATTAGAATAGTATCAGACCTTTTGATTTCATACTCAAACTCGATTAATCAAGGGAAAAGTTACTCTGGTCGGTTTGCGAGTGATAGCCCATGAGCGAAATTCACAGAATGTAATCCCGCCTTTGGGAGCTATGTGGTGAATTTCAGTTATAAGGTTTAATGATACAAGGCGTATATTAATGTTTCACGGTGGAGGTCCTCGTGTCTTGTCGGTGGGTACGTATGCTTCGAGAAATATACACCGCCCCACCCAACCTTCCCCAATCTTCCATCACGACTACCACAAGGCGAATAGATATAGCCTAAGACGTTACATCATCCTCGCTCCGACTTGGTCTAAGCCGCTCTAAGAGGCCAATACCAAAGAGAGGAGGATAGACAATGCTAGTTCGAAGAGATAATTTCTCGTTCTCACATAGGTACACTCCTTGACAGTGGCTGTATGCACTTGACTTACTGATCTCAAAACCAAGAGACCTATTGACATTGGCCTCCCTTGAGCATCAAGAAAGAGCTCAGTGTTCTAAGTCCGCTTGCTCCAGTAGATAGGAACACCAAAACCCTTGGGTCATACCTACTCCTTCCCATGTTCCTTTACAAGTTGTTTACAGTAATTCTCTCCTCTATCTTGGTCTATACCTAGACTCGACCCTACGGTAGTACTGTCCGCCTGATCAAGGGCTTGTGTAGAGACGGAACCCCAGTACCTACTACAGTTCCCGTTACATAGACCCATCTCATAGGTAATCTTCTACTCGGGCTTAAATGATAGCCGTGGGAGTAGAGAACAGCAAGTCGATGAGAACGAGGAACTACTAAATAGCTAGGCGTGAGGGAAGATATGGTATGGGCACTACCTTTATTATTGGTCGTGGTACGTACTACTGGTAATCATGAACAAAATCTATTCTTTTGAACCTTCCTCTTAACGGTAAACTACTTGCAGGAAAGAGGGGCAGGTCAAATTAGACTAAGCTTATGTTTTACACGCCGTTAAGCCGGGTCTTTATTCGGGAGGATCTATAGTTTCTAGTTAGATAAGAGTCTGGGGGTGAACTCCAGGACCGGAGGGAAGATTCGGATATGATATCGAGTCTCGATAACGGAAAGAAGGCCGGATTGCATATTGAGATGTCGAGAATGATTAAGACCGTTTTTATCCGGGGCGTGTTTGACTCTCGAGGATACTAATTAAGGCAATGATTAGGTATGGTTGAACCACGACAGTAACCGGCAACTCAAGAGAGGTCTCGCGGCCGATGTCTCTCCCATTCATCCTCTCCTGACCTTCTTTCCTCCTCTTCCTACCTCATTAACATTTTGCCCAAAATGAGATTCACGTACTAACAATCCCAATGAGGTACTAGCTTGAGGTGCTCGGTATAAAACTTCCGACGCCGATGCCTTGTGGTTGACTCTACTCGGACTCACCGTCAAGCCAATATATTCATCAACCTGGACCCCGTGAGTGACTGTGACCGCGCGGGGAGGATGATTGCAATCATCTTCCCGAGCCACGCTATAAGCTATTCACCGTAAAATAAGCTTTGGGCTCTTTTACTCCCACAACCCAATTCCAATCCATCCTCCAACCTCCACCACCATTAATCAATGATCCCGCTGCCGCCCACTCTTTCAACCATTACCTCCACCTCAAAGCCCAGCAGACAACGCATCAAGCCTTTGAAACGCAATCCGAGAAATTATCTCCAACATACGGAACCTCATCCTTCCTTTCAAGATACCACGTCTACTCCAATGCGCAGGATTCCGCGAGTGATATCTCATGAAGAGATAGTCGATTTGCATAACAACCACTTGTGCACAAATCTTCTCAACCAAACCACCCCCACCCCTGCCCTGGCTGATCAGGTTGTGATGCAAACAAAAACCTCATCCATTGATCGGGATCGGAGGTAGGATCGTGATTACGCCCGGGCAGATCTAGATTAGATCGGATCGTAGGCTTTTTCCCTATAGGGTGGATTTAACTGTCTCTATGCATCCCACGTCTTCACGTTGCTTTTGATAGGCTATTTTTAAAAAAATTAAAGAGACCGCTTATAACTGTGAGGAATTGTATCCTACAATAACTGAACACATCACTTTCCAACAGTCATGTATAAACCCACGTAGTTAAGACTTTTACAGCAATAGTTATGCTAAGCTTCAATCAAATTTTTGAGATTGGCAAATCTTACTATTCCATGACCATCAAGTTGAACCAGCTCTACTCATCACTAAATATCGTAAGCACATAAATAAATTCACCAACCAAGCAATGAAATCCCCCAAGTCAAATCAAAAAAACGCCTGGTACTACAGTATTACGCACTGTTTCATCTCGTATCCGTAATCTCGATTCTTCATTTAACCCTCTCCTTCTCTTTGTTTTTCCCTAGTCTTCCCTGACTCTTAGAGGTCAACCTCCCCTGTGGCTTCCCACCAGAGCTAGGACCTAGCAACAGCCTCCCTTTCTTCATCTCCATTATCGTTTCCACAGCCTTCGCAGGTAAGCTTACAACACTCCATGCGAATGAGAGTGGTGCCACAAGAAGCGCAAAGCTCCACTGCAGCAGTACGCCCGCAAGTGTCTGCTCCTTCTGCCGCGCACTTGCCGCTGCAGCGAGCGTAAGAATGTCATTGAGCCGAGCATCGATTTCGTGGATTCGAGTTTCGGTGTGCAGGCTGTGAAGGGCTTCTTTCTTCTCGTAGCGACGGACAGCACCTAGGATAATAGGTCAGCTTTATTTCTGATATCGGGAATTTAATCAAAGGTGGGGAGCATTACGGTTCAGAGCGTCGAGATCAGGATCTCGCTCGATTGCACGGGTGGCCAAAAGTGTAAGCTCCTTGACTTCTGCCTGCAGTTCATCAATCCTTGAACCCAGAAGATCAACCTTTGCAGGCGGAGGATGATGGACTGTGCTCTGTAGATATTTCGTCCGAGTCCGGATCAATTTTACAAGCTGTGCGGATGGCCTCAACTCTGCAGCTAGGACGAAAGTTGAGAGGTTGAAATTTGATATCAGGCCTCCACTAGGTCGAGAGAGTTGCCCGCGGATCATATGGAGCATCAAGCCGCCTACAATCGGTCCAATGAAGCAACATAGTAATGCAATATGTTCATGCATGAGGAGCTCATCAACTGCGGCGGCGCGAATTTCAGCCTCGCGGAGTGTTTTCGGGGGTTTAGGGTTTGGAACTGGGTCGAGATCAGGACTTTCGGATGCGATTGATTGTGAAGCGCGATACCATTCCCTATACAGCCCAACTATCAATTTAAACATTCATAAATAAATAAATAAAGAAAGGATGGATTACAAACCATGGAAATTTGACCAGCCAGTGGAGAAATATAGCAGCGAGAAATAGCAGAATTACATCTGTAATGAAGAAGTCACCCCCAGTGACAAAGGCCCCGGCGATGGCGGGGAGAACAGCAAATGCAAATGGAATATTGTGCCATGTCGGAGACTCGCCGTCGGTGGGTGCTAGCACGATTTCTGCCGCGGATCCAAGTGCTTGTTTCGCTTCCTGCAGCGTCAAAGAGTTCCGCCGGCTATTTACTGCCTCCAGAGAGGAGAAGGTTGATGAACGACGACGCCGACGAGGAGTACTGGGCGCTTGAGCTCCCGGAGAGAGCTCTGGGGAGAGAGGACGACTATGCTTGGTAGTTGTTTTAGTTTCGGACATCGTGGGGGACGTCGACGGTTATTGGTATGTGAGGGCTGAATGAAGGAAAGGAAAGGAGGGGAAACGAAGTTTTCAACGGTTATATCTATTCTACCAGGTTTCCCATGTCTTCTCCAAAGAGGGGTGAACGTTTCGGAGGTGTGGCCATCTTGTCCGACATCCGTTCGATGGGAGTGGAGCATCGGTACAGCACATGCATGAATCACATGTGCATATTAGAGTACACACTTTACGCCGTAGAGTAGAGCGTGTACTGAGTAGATTATCCGCTGTTGGCCAGTCACTTCACTCTCACTTATCACACCCTCCCCACAGAAACACGGGGCGTGAGTCCGGGGACTTCAAGGTCGTTTTGCGAATATCTGCTCTGTTTGTTCATTCTTGTGATAGCTTCCCTCCGTGTCTGAATTCAAATCCTCCCTTCCGCTATCGGTGACGAATCCGGGGAATATTCGAGATGCGGAGAACCTTGGGGGCAAAAAAGACAGCAGGGGTGGGCAGATGGGATATGCACGTCATCCTGAGAACATCGCACGCAGAGCTGGATTGAGATGAGTACATGTATGTAGATATCGAGAAATAGATAACTAATTGGAGCTCTGGTGAAGCATTATTATTCCATTGTTTGGCCCGTATGTGTGATCACGCGTTTCCTGATATTATTGTTTGGGTTGTTGCAATCAAGGATCTGATAAGAATGCGATGTAACCAAATCACAATATATCACCCGCGCTATTCATTAGATCTTTACTGAAACCTGCAATAGGTATAGCGTAGGATGAATGTAGGTACTCTACCAAGGACGAGGCCAGAGTCGTAAATTAATAGACATAATACATGTAACCAAGGCTAGGAGAGGCGCATGCTTTCTGCGAGTCAATGTAGAGCCCTGGTAAGCATTGAGGAAATACAATCACTGTGTATGTAGTGGTTTAGAGAGGGCTATCGTTTCATTCAGGCACTTATATATTCTTTGCAAATACATGTAACTATATAAATCTTCTGTCGTTTACAAAAACCTTGTGTGCGCTTAATAACATTGAGAACTGTTAATCTTAAACATGTTTCTCTTTTTTATTTATTTGAGAAACCAAAATCCATCGGAAGACTACATGTATGTATCCACCGGCTGCATCGGCGCAGAAAGATTACAAGTCATCGCCTTCAACGATACCACAGGTGCGTCCGCGGGTGACATCGTAAAGTGGCCTCCAGGCACGATATGTTGGGAAGTCGTTCTCGTGGTCCGGAAGATCGACAATGGCTGTAGCAATGGCAACCTTTAGGCTTGGAACTTCTTCACGGTGAACAGCTGTACCGTCAAGCTATTAGGCCATTAGTATAATGCTTGAAAATTATCTGAATGGGTTAGTCAAATACATACCCTATTGACTCTCCAATGAAGCTTCTTGTTCAAGAACGGAACAACGATATCGGGTTCTAGCGACTGTAACTCCGGAATAGAATTATCTGGAATACGGTCCAGCAGCGCTCCGGTAAGTGGGATAGACGCCGTAACAATCAACCCTTCTTCTGCGTTCTGCTTGCATTTACCGCAGCCGGTGTTATCACTGTCGTTGGCAAAGACGTTGAAAGTGCCGACCAAGTTTCTGTCCAACATACGAGCTACCGGGTCGGTATTGAAATCACCCATGAAGACATGGACATTAAAGGACCCGCCAAGACAATATTTATCTACACGAATATCGGCGAAGTACTCGTGATAGTGATTGTCCTCAAGGAGGCTCGGATGACCGCCCTGAGCTACAGGAACAAAGGGCTTTTTGGTATCAGACTTGTGGACTTCGGCATGTTTGTGGCCTGCATGGTCCTCGTCCCCAGGTCCATCGGTTTGGGGAATCCCGACGGTTTGCTGAGCCATAGCCTTAAAAGGTGCGATAGCAGCGGCGATGATACCAGTGCCTGAACTACTGCCTGCAATTCTTCCTGCAGGAGCTTGTGTACCATACAATCGTGTGACAGCTGCTACAACATTTTGTTTGACTTGAGTCGGACCGACGACACCCCAGTCGATGAGTTCGGGGTAAGTACTGCCAAATTGCTTCAACTCTCGGCATGTTTGCGAAGTGTAGTATTCGCGGTCGTTCTTGTGGAATGGGAGAAGTCCTATAAGAGTTAGAGACTAAAAATAATGAGATTGCTGAACTCAAGGAAAGTAAATATCGTACCTGTGTTGACACCCTCAACAGTAGGGTTGTTACTTTGTTGGCTCCCATTTGACCAGAAGGTAGAGAATTGGGCTGTTTGATCTGTCACGTAGCTGTTGGGGTTCAATACCTGCCAGAGAGCAAAGATACGATCGACATTGCAGTGGTGAAGCCAGAAAATGGGATCAAAAGCAGCGTATCCGGGGTGGCCCATGTGACCTAAAAGAGTTAGACAGTGGCTCGTTTAAAGTATTTTCAACTATATTAATACATACCATCTCCTCCGGTTATACCATGGATTATGTTATGAATGGATTCCAAGGAGTCATAGTCGTCTGCACGGCCGTTTCGTACCCAGCCATCATTGGAGAAGGCCTTATAGTCCTTATAGCCATTCTGTGTCAGAAGAGCATACATCCGATCACGGATACTAGAGAGGCCCAGTGTGATTAGCAACTTCTAGTATTGTGAGTGGAATTTACCTACTTCTTGAAATTGCTGTCCAAACCTCTCTGAACCTGGTCTGGGTTGCTCTTATCGGTGGCAGCTGGAGCCCGACCTCTGATCAGCGGCTGGCGAAGAGTGGCAGGCCAAGTATAGTATTGGCGTTCGGGAAATTCTCTCCTATCAATGGTGCCAAAGTTATAACTGTAGAGGGGATTGTTGATTGTTTTTGTCCCGGTGGGGGTTTCGACAGTAACTTTTTCCTGTCTAAGGACAATATCTGGCAGCTTTTGGTTTGCAGCAAAATCCCAATAGCTATATCCGTGATAATAGTACAAATTAGATATTCGTTTTATGGTACAGAATAGAGTGGGCTACGAACGGAATGCGGAAAGATGGAACGAGACGCATGTATTTGGTCTTGGCTGGGCCCTCGGGGAATGCCTGAACGGCTGCCTTGCAATTTGCGAAGAGTGCTTGCTATTGAATCCACATTAAATCAATCATTAGAAAAATTTCAGCAACGAATGGAGAGATGGGGCAGAACTCGTACCTCATACAGAGCAACATATGGTCTATGCCAGGTTGGAAACAGGATACTCGAATGTGTGCAATACCCACTGTTGTTACCAGAAATACCTGAAACACTATCCCAAGCTGCGTAGGGACGTCCATGGATACCACCAATCTGGAACCAGGAGAGCTTATCGGTCTTTGGGAGACTCTGCATGCGCTGCAATCCGAGAAGATAGATATTGAGCATATCCTTGTTCTGGATGAACTCATTGATCTCTGTACGTAGTGGGACTGCGGGGCCATTGCGTCCCTCGGTCACTCCGGTGATATCAACGTAGTCTGTCATAATTGATCGCTATGAATAGAGAAGTGGGATGTAGGAAGTTTGATAGAACTCTTGGTGAAGTCCTGAGTTTTGGTAGAGGACAATCAAGAAGATGGGGGACAAGGAGGGGTATTTGTAGAAATGGAACAGATAGAGGGGCAATTCGAAGACGTAAGTTTGTGGGTTTATTGGTAAGATGTCTTATGCTAAGGCATTACTTTTCGCGGGACGTTGCGTACGCAAAGAAAGGTTTGAGGCCAATGATTCCGCAATATCATTTTGAGGCCCAACTTCGGTACCGACATCCTGCGTGAGGACCCTTAAAGACATGTGGACCCTAGAGACATGTGGTTGGTGACACATGCAAGGTTTATCGCACGAAAGAGGCATGGTGTATCCTAAAGCAAGATTGCAATCGTGACCATCAATAAACATCTACATACATGTATTCTCTGAACCATTGTGCGAGACACAGGGTCTGTGAGACATGCTCGACTTTCAGCTTTTGAAGATCGAAATGGACTGCAGCAACATACTTTACTAGTCAAGCAAGAAAAGCGGGGTCAATCGCTTGGTTCCGGCTTCTTGCTTAATTAAAATTTAGACTCGTTTTGGAGACATGTATGTAACTGTAAATAGTAGCACATTGTTTGATGGGCTGAGGTGAGCTGGAATGTCCTTAGACAAGGGCATCAGTAGTCATACTTACTAGATACGGATATTAGTAGGTGTTATATAATCATTATTCACGCCGGACGTTGAAAATCACTTTGCAATCGATCCTAGTCCCAGATAAGGTCCTTAATAGTAGTTATCGAATATAAATAGCAAGGTTTCATTGCACCTAACCTTTTCAGAAGACTACTGCCGAGAGAGGCACGCCTCAAACAATTGCATGACATTTTAAGTGATTTAATAAACACGATGTAGTGCTCATGACCATCATTCCGCCTCGTTCCCGACGCTCAGCTGCCTTTTTTCCCCATAGTACTTCCCACTAGATCTGCATGCATCTTTTCAGCTTTATTCCGCTTCTCAACATAGACACCCACATATTCAGGCACTTCATCCACTGCATTATCTGGGCCTGGAATTGGTACGCCCAAGGCTTCAAACACAGGAACTACCCCAGTCCATACTTTTTCGCGTAGCCCAGGGCGCTCATTATCCTTCTTTTCATCCAGCGGGGGCCCTGTCCTAACCTTCGCAGATGCACTACTGATCTTCAGTTTTAATACGGATGTCGAACTCATCTCGGCCTCATCAGGCGGAATGCGGGTATGATTCCATCGGTCAGGAATTACAGAATTAGTTATTAACTCCATTGCATAGAGCTTCTCTGCTGGATCGATAACCAAAGTTGCGGTGCCGTGGAGGATCGCAGAACGGTAGTTGTAAGAGTGAGAATTGGGTGTCAGGGATAGCACAAAGCCATCAATCTTAGTAGCAGCTACACAGAGCGGGATTCCTTCTACCCCACGTGCAAGGTTGATTATTCGAGATGAAACGTAACCATGAAGGTAGCTGGTATGAAATATTAGACTTCTTGCATTGATAAATATTATGACGAGATATGTCCGTATGTGGTGGAAGCTTCATACCAGTCCAGAGCATCTGTTTCATCAGAGCTCGGGTAATCAAACGATCCCATCTGTCCTATCATGGGAAGGATCATTGGAAGCGGCGCTGATGATGGATCTTTAGGGTCTGAAGGTACCACAAAAGAGACATGAAGTACAGATGTTGTGTTGACAATTCGATGGATAGTCGATGCATCATAACTCGCTATTGAATGTGAGAAAAGCCCATTTACATTCGAGGCGATTTAGACCGATGCAAGTCCAGCTATCTCCAACCTTAGGGGGGGACCATAGGCTTATGGTAGGCCTCCGAGTAGTTGGAAATAGCTTCCGGACTATAAAGTGGGACATACCTCGTTGATTATATCTATTCACCTTGTTGATGGGGGTTTTCGGATAACTGAGTTCTCTAGACATTTTAAGCGTGGTTCTCGGGAGATCTATGCTTCAGACTCCACATTAGATGTTATATGTGGCGGGATGAAGATCACCCAATGAAAATGACTCAACATACGCGGGTCGGGTCGCCCACCGGGAATTTCCCTGGTTGGTTCCAGCTCCTCAAAGGCCCGGGGGGAAACAAGTCTACAGTTGCTTACCTAGTGACGGCGGATCCTGTCTGATGGTTGTGTTTGCAGTAATTTCCCCTTGGCGTCCCAAAGTTAACTGTTATTGGCCTCAAATCCCTGACCGCCATCAGACAGGATCCGCCTTCACCCCGTGAGTGACTGTACTCTACAAACTCGCCACATGCAATATACTTTACAATGTCATACAAGCGGAAGGCCGGACTTGAGTTATCGATAAGGGTCGGAGTTATTTATTAATTAGTAGCACTACCAGCGATACGCATGTACATACATACATGAAGACATACATGTAGTGACGTTATAGGCTTGCTACTTTTGTTATATGTATCGTTGACTCTTATCAGCCTTTACAATTGATTCCTCGTGGTTTGCAACTCCTTACCCATGATAAAGTAGATCTAGAAAATAGGCTTGGGCTAAAAGTACATACATGTACCTACAAATTACGGCAAAGCTTGCTATAAGAGTAACTAGTACGTACATGTATTCTTTCTATCAGGGTAATTAATATGTATCCCTATGGGTACCAAATTATAGTCCGGAGCGTACGTTTTACATGTATTTTGCTATTCGAATATTATAAATTCCTGTACTTTTGTAAAGGTTGATCATCGAAACAAGGACAGAGCCAACCTGCAAATTTAAAAGTGACACGTGACTGACACCCTGGATAACTGGGTTACACAAAGGACAGGTACCTACATGTAATAAACTAGCGGAACTTCAACGGAATCAACGACAACTCACCTAGGCTTCGTCAACTACAAATTGGCCATGAAGGCCATAAACTCCTGGCTGCTTATTGCAGTTACTAATATTCTTCTCCCTATTGCAATACTTATATTCGCAAAAGGGTTCTTCCCGTATAAACCAGTCTTCCCGGGTCTCGCTGTTCTCGATGCCACCTCAGAGCCTCCACCTCCGGCGCCTTTTGAGAAGATTATTTTTATGGTCGTTGATGCACTTCGAAGGTATTTATTGTATCTCTGGGAGTTCTATAGGTTTATGTGACTAAATACTCGATAGCGATTTTGTATTCTCTGAAAATTCCGGATTCAAGTTTACCCAGAGGTTCATAGCTTGACCCTTACCCCACAAATTCACACCTCCGAATACTTGTTAACATTTTACAGTCTCATACGCTCAGGTTCAGCTGTGCCGTTTACTGCACATGCGACCTCTCCGACGATTACAATGCCACGGGTGAAGGCTCTCACGACTGGCTCAATCCCAAGCTTCCTAGATGTGATTCTCAACTTCGCGGAATCGGACACGTCGTCAACTCTAGCAAATCAAGACAGCTGGTTAGCGCAGATTCGCCAACGTGATGGAAAGATAACAATGTTTGGAGACGATACGTGGCTTAAACTGTTTCCAGGCATGTTTGCGCGTTCAGACGGGACTTCGAGTTTCTTCGTCTCGGTACGCAGGGCCGAGAGAACCCTAACCATTGGCGCTCATTTTCTAACAGTATTGTGTAGGATTTTACGGAGGTAGATAATAATGTTACTCGACATCATAAAGATGAGCTTTTACAAACTGATTGGGATGCAATGATTATGCATTATTTGGGCCTTGACCATATCGGCCACAAAGCTGGACCACGAAGCCCTTACATGAAACCCAAGCAGGAGGAAATGGACAGTATAGTCCAAGAGTTCTACAATGCCCTTAAAGCTCTACCCCATCTAGAATCAACTCTCTTTGTTCTTGCTGGAGACCATGGTATGAATGACGCCGGTAACCATGGGGGCTCGGCACCTGGTGAAACATCGCCAGCACTTGTTCTCATCTCTCCAAAATTTGAAGAGGCCTTCCCTGGAGGTGGAAGAGAGTGCCCAGCATTGCCGAAGGAAGAGTTCGACTTTTATACTACCGTCGAGCAATCAGATATCGTTCCGACACTTGCTGGGCTTCTCGGCTTCCCTGTGCCAAAAAACAATCTTGGTGTTTTTATTCCTTCCTTGCTTGGGATGTGGAACGGTAAGCTCCCCGATGTTTCTTAGCTGTTTATCTCACTGAAATGGGCCAAATACTAAAAACCTTAAAGTATCCGATAGGGTTGAACTCATGTTACGAAACGCTCAACAATTACTTGCAATTGTTAGAGCAGCATATCCTGATTTTGATGGTAAAGGCTCACTCAGCGATTGCATCAAAGCCAGTACCGATGTCGAGGAATTGAGTTGCTGGTGGGAAAAGTCTCAAATGGCTTATGAAAACTTCAAGATGAATGGCGCGAACCAAGACGTCACTCTTGAATTACTTTCTGTTTTCTCTACCCGGTGTCAAGATGTTCTCTCAATGGCTGCAAGTAATTATAATCTCAAATTGATGATCACCGGGACAGTTTTGACATTTCTCTCATCCATACTTTCCATTTTTGGTATTTTTCTTTCCTCGGAGAACTCAAGGCTTGCAAATTTATTTTTTCCTTTATCAACTCTGCTATATGGTGTCATGATGTTCGCCAGTAGCTATGTTGAAGAAGAACATCACTTCTGGTACTGGGTTGCTTCAGGATGGTTTATTTGCATCTTCGTCAAAGGGTATGTTCTCTCTATATCACCAACAAAATTTTACTGACAGAAAAAGGCATAAGAAAATCGGCGCGCTGCCTTCATTAGCAATTTTGACCCTGTTAAGGGTAGCTCGTCGTTGGAATCAGACAGGTCAAAAGCATGCTGGTTCATCTGATATCTCTAAAGACTTTCTCCAGAGATATCCTAGTATCTTGTGGTTCCTGGTCATAGTCGCTTACCTTATAATTTTCCTTCGACTATCCAATAGGACTTTTCGTAGGGCTGGGCGCGAGGTGGCTTTCGTCTTTGCTTTCGCAGTTATGGCATCGGCCTTGGCGTTCAAGTTCGCGTTCGCTGCTCAAGACACACCTGAGCTGATACCTTCGGATTTGGTTCCCGTAGCTGAATGGTTGAAGGATGTACCGCTAGTAAATCTTGCTAGAGCAACATTTAGCGCTATTTTTGTTGGTATTTTGTATACAATATCCTTCGAGCTCCCAAAGAGTGTCCCGTATAGTATGCTTGCCTTGAACAGACTGAGTTTTTAGGATACATATACTAACTGCTTAGATAACCCTACCTCTCTGAATTCAGCTGTTGTCTTTATGGATTTTATTACAGCCTTCTTGGTTACTCAAACAAGATTGGTCAACATACCACTCTTCTTATTACTGCAGCTTGTTGCTTGGCTTCTCGGGACTATGCGACTGTCTGCAACGGAAATTACAATTTCCACTATGATATTGTCGCACTTCTCCTTTTTCGCATTCGGCGGGGCCAATGCTATCTCCTCCATCGATCTTTCCAACGCATACAATGGTGTATCTGGCTACAATGTAGTTGTTGTCGCTATCCTAACACTCGTCAGCAACTGGATTGGACCCATTTACTGGAGTTGCTATGGAATTATCCTATTGACACGGAGGCGTGTCTTGGATAAGTCCGCGTACTCGAGACATACGATTATATTGACTTCGTTCTATTGCATCACGGTGGCATTCGTTATGGTTGCTTGTACAGTACTGAGGACACATCTCTTTATATGGACCGTTTTCTCACCCAAGTTTTTATACAGTATGGCTTGGGTGTTGGGGTACCATATATTGATAAACTTGGGCCTTGGCGGTGTGATGGGGTGGGCTGGTAAGCGATGTTTTATTTGATTTTGATGGATATAATACCTAGCCCTGTGCTACAGGCAGCTCATATAGATAGAGCGTTGAATTTGTCGTTTAAAGCCCTATTTTTAGTATTTAGTTTAAAATAGATTGCATTATTTTGACATAGGCATACTTTATTCGACCAGGCTACAGGAAGTAGCGAAATAAAGAGTACTTGAGTATATTCATGTGCATGTTCCAGTGCTAAATACCTCCCCAGTAGATAAAAGGGAATAAGCGCAAAACATTCAAGAGACTTACGTGTTCCCTGGATGGACTCTGTTTCAGCCGGTCCAGACCCGGCGTTGTGAGGTTGAGGAAGCCTCTTGGCAGTATTTTATGGGCAATGATATGTTTGACACTTATTTCTTGGTGTAAAACCACTCTCAACTGAACCGTATGTCCAGGATATGGTATCAGACACATATATATGTGAAAACACAGCTCACTTCACTGAATTATATCATCAAAATGGTAGTATTTGTGTGATTTTCTAGATATCAGAGGTCTATTGATATCTCAAGATATAGATGACGGTGAGAGAAGTAATACATTGGAGATTAAATAGAATATTGGCTATTTTTATCGCCATCATAGCAACCCCGCGAACAAGCCATCAATCTCATCTGTCTTCTTCCGCTTCTTCTTTTTCTTCGCTCCTTCCTTTTCGTCGGATTTCCTTTTGGACTTCTTCTCCCGCCTTTCCTCCCTCGTAGGCGGCGGTGAAGGCATCCGTGATGGCGGTAATGATGAAGATGCCGTCGGCTTTACCGCTTTCTTCTTTTTCTTTACAGACTTCTCCTCCCTCCTTGGGTCCTTTACGGCAGCTACTACTATATCTGATTCCACGGTAGGCTTTACAGGTGGACGCCGGATTACCAACGGCGTCTCACTTACTACTGCCTCTTTGATTGCCGGGTCCTCTTCTTCCTCGACTACAACCGTTTCTTCCACTACTATTTCCTCCTCCTCTTCCTCCTCGACCAGTTCCTCCCTTCGAACTATAGCTTCCCCGAAGTCCTCTCCGCCATCGGCCAGCTCCACCAGGGTTTCCCTCTTCTGGTAGCTAGTCTCCCTAACCGCAACCTTAACCACTTCCTTCACCTTCACCACAGGCGCCTCCTTCTTCTCAGGCCCAACAATGGCATGCACCCTCGCCAGTATCGCCAACAACGTCAGCCCCAGCGGCGCAAACTGCGTATCCGCAATAACACTCGTAAAGGCTCTATGTCGCACACGCGATCAGTTCCCTCCCACCTGGCTAGACCTTATTGCAGCAACTTACGAGTAACAACTCGGCACCAGAACCCGGCGCATGTACTCCACCCGCTTACTGGCGTCCCCGTCTTCCTCGGACGGGTTGAGGAGCTTGCGGATGTTGCGCCGCAGCATGCCGAACCATTTCCACCATTTGCCGGAGCGGTGCTGATTCTTGTTGCGGTGGAAGAGAAGGTGGAGGAGGTCGGATTCGGGTTGTAGATCTGTCAGTGGGAGGGGTGTATCTATAGAAGCTGCCATTGTAGTTCGGTGTATGGTATTGCTGGGTTGCGCGCGGTGAGATTTGAACTATCGTGAAGTTTGGGGGCCGGGGGTGGTAATGAGCGGGTAACCCTGTTTTTTTTTTCCCGCGAGTTAGGGCTTGCTTGGCATTACATGTTCAATGATCATTGACGGCTTTGGTTTTGAGATAAGTGTATTTATTTATATCAGACGCAGAGTGAGTGTTTAGAAAGCAGGACTTTATAGATTATAATAGCTATAAACTACTTTATATAAATTACCCTCTACGAAGCCTACGCCCACCCGCGGATATAAACCCAATAAATTATAAATGACCCAGCCCGGCACAAGAAAACTGCCCTACATCTCCACATGCAATTCCCCTCCAAAGGGCTCAAAAAGCAATCCCCGCCAAGTAATGCTTAATCCCACCTGTCAAGCCAAAAGAAAATCACAGCGCAGGGGTCAGCCTAGCGCCCCTGAGGCTCCCAACGCCCACCACACAACGAGCCCGAACGCATGACGACACCGACACCACCGTCAACTCACCACCAACACCACCACCACCACCACCAAAAAGCCATGCCGAACCCCACCAGCGGAAGAAGAACAGGTCCCCCCCCTCCCTCTCCACCTCTCCCCACAACCACTAACACCCCCCACAGGGGAAGCCGACATCGCCGCCATGGAGGCCGCCAAAGGCGCTGTCAACGGCGCCGCCAAAGTGAGTTTCCTGCGCTGCAGCAGCACCAGCAACACCCTACTGAACGAGAGCAGTGGGGCGCCGTATCCGTCGTCGCGGGCGTAATCGCCTACTTCACATCGCCGCTCTTCCGGGGATTGACGCCCCAGTTCAAGGTGTACCTGTGGATGTGCCCCGCCACGATTGGGGGCATGGTGGAGGCGGATCGGTATTGAACCCCCCTCCCCCTCCCCCTCCCCCTCCCCCTCCCCCGTACCCTACTACTACTACCCCCGACCTCCCCGAACCTCCCCCCTCGTTGTGTTCGTGCAATGGAAAGCATGGGCTTACTTGTGTGGGTGGGTGGGGTGGAAAAGACGATTGCGCATCTATGAGAACATGGTTCGGCACGAACGGCGCGAGCAACTCGAGGCCGCTCATGAGAAGCAGATGCTGGACGAGGTGGCAGAGCTGGAGATCCTCGAGAACCGTGCGAAGAAATCGCCGTAAGGTGGGGAGGTGAGTGAGAGACATGGGCCTTCCAAGGATTGGCTCGAAAGGGCCGAGGTTATGGCCATAGGCCGGATACATGTACGATGTACTCTACATATGTACGTAGAGTCTCTACGCATACCAACCTGCATAGTTCCGGAGAATCATCGTGCTGTGTTGGTCGGAAGCCAATCAAAGAGCAAGGGTTTATAGCTGTGCAGTAGTAGAGTATTAGTACTCCGATGCAGGGTAGAGGAACCCAGGCTAGGATGACCGTTCTCTCCAATAGATCAAGTGCCTGAATCCCGACAACCTAACTTCATCCAACACCGAGCCATTCACAGAGATCTTCTTTGTTTAGCAATATAATAAATATTTTTGGATATCTGCATCATCCACTTATGGTGGCTCATCTTATATACAGGAATCTTAACAGTTAAAGGTAATAACAGTGTCTAAGCTAAAGAAAAATTAAAACATACACCCAAACATTCCTAAAAAAAAAATCAAAAAGCTAAATAGCTATGCTTTTTCGCAGCCAAATAAAGTTAACGATTAAAAGGCGCCCTTCACAAAACAGAAGGAGCCATCTCCAGCGTATCAAATAGAAAAATCCAGCCATGCCCGACCGACATGTTAATGATTGCTCC